CTATCCTGGTATATTTTTATAAGATATCTTTTTGTATTTCATCAAATTAATTAAGTTTCTGTACGTTCTATTTTTTATGTAACTTTAAGTTTATTATCTAAATTGTAATCTATGAAAAATTCGTTCTAACGGTCTCAAAGGATAGAAATGTCAGTATTAAACCGGTCAGTGTTAAAACAAATAATAATTATATCACAAATAATAAATATTTTCTACTTAAAGGTTTGAGAGAGGACAGATGCTCAAAATGATTTCATTCAAATGGATAATTATTTACGGTTCGCTGGCACCGTTTTTTATTATGATCACTCTGCTGTATATTCTCGGGGTTGCGAGATATGTCACCGACTTTGAGGAGAATACTTGTGAAATGACGTATATGTTTGAATATCCGCAATATGTGGTACGTGGACTTGTAAATCATACACGAGACTACAATACTTTTTAACTTTATATCAGCTTTTATGAACTATTGGAAATAGCTTACTATAAAAATAGAGATTATACTTTAATCCATTTTAATACTTTTATCTAGAACCGTTAAGTGTGTTTTTTATTACTGTACTAGATTGAACTAGAACTTTTCTTTTTGTCTTTGTCAAATTTTGAATATATACCTATTTAAATAAAAAGTATATATTGATTTAATTATAAAAAACAGACCTTTAATCTATTAATTGATATTAAGTTTGCTTTTTTTAATTAGACTTATCAGATAGTTTATTTTATTTTTCCACCAGAATATGAAGAAATGATAACGAATTTTTTATTTATTAAATGTAAAAACAAAGAATATTTTTAGTGGAATACTAAGTATGTATAATTTTTTTTGTGAAAAACAATTTTTTAATAATTTATTATATTTCAGAAAATATCCTTGAAAAATGATATTGAAGCGAAATATCCACGGTTTGGATTGTATGCTTATGGAGAAGGTATTCTAACTGAAAAATTGAGAAGAATGCATTTTTCTGGTATACCAGTTCTTTTCATACCAGGCAATGCTGGATCTCATGAACAAGGTTTATATCACTTTAATAATATATTAGCAACTTAATTTGATGACAGATTTTTATTATTTCCGAACAGATATTCAAAAGTCTATTATATTTTTTTTCTTTTATTTTAGTACGATCTATTGCTTCGGTAAGTTTAAGAAAAAGCCGCACAGCTTCCTTCCACTTTGACTTTTTTACTGTTTCATTCAGTAAGGATTATTCTGCATTATATGGAGGTATGATAGAAAATTAAAAAATTATTAATATATTAACACTTGTGTACATAATACCAACGGCTGTTGTAATTTTATTAATGCTAGGTGTGCTTATGGAACAAACTGAGTATGTCTCACATTGTATAAAGGCAATACTAGCGTTGTATAAGGGCAAAATGGATAATGTTGTATTAATTGGTCATTCTATGGTAAGAAACATAGATATGTGCTATAAAGAATGATTGAAATTTACTGGCATTGCTTTCAGGGTGGTATTGTAGCAAAAGGAGCTCTGTTACTAGCACCAAATATGAATGCATCGTTAGCAAATATCATAATAAATTTGGCTACTCCTCATACTCCCTTCTTAGTTTTTGATAGTGTCTTTGCAAATTATTATTATGAATTGGAAAGACATTTGCATAAACTTAAGGATGCAGGAGTAAAGGTAGTATCAATTGGAGGTGGACCAAGTGATATACTTGTACCTTCTATCGCAGCTTTCGATCGTATGGCGGATATAAATGTTCTTTCTACGAGTATACCATGTGTTTGGAAATCCACGGATCATTTAAGTATTCTATGGTGTAAACAATTAGTATTTGTAATTGTGCGGTCGCTATTTGATTCTGTGAATGAGTTGGAAAAACCGCCTAAAATTGCATCAAATCCTGATTTAAAAATGAAGTCCTTATCTTATCACTTCTTGAAAGTAAGTAATCATTATATATATAGATGCTAAAATCAAGATTTAATTAACTCTGTTATATATAATATTGCACAGTCACACAAAAAGATATTTAATAATTATAAATTTTGAAATTGCTAAAATAAGTGCTAAAATAAATTAATGAATTTTAATGTATAAAATTTCAGCATACTTCTGGCAAAAAAATGTATCATTATCCAGACAAAGTTCGATTTGAAACCGACGCTGAATGGGTGAGTGTACCTCAACAGTATGTCTGGAATAATAATGGAATTAAAAGATCATCCGTTATATATCTTGCGGTGGAACTATTTCACAAATCTGACTTCTTAACCATTGATACAATAAATTTACAAAACAAGGATTGGTTGTTTGTATGCTCAGCATTAAAAAAACAAGAACAAAAAAGAATTTGGTAACATTGAATTATATACTTCTACTATGAAAGAAATTATTATTTATTAATAAGTTTTAATATATGTATTTTTTTTAGTGAATGGGGTTGGAGTTTGACAAATAAAACAAGAATTTTACCTGATCCTTTATATCGATCGAGAAAGACTGTTGATTTAAATCTAAGAGAGATAAAATATCCACACATTACTCATGCCATTGTGAAATTAACTCCCGATGATTTAGAGGAACAACTTACAATCAATTTTGACTCCTATTTTTACAATAATCGAATAGAATCTACAAGAAATAGATTCTTACATCCTAAATATATCTTTGGTTTCCGTGGACCTAATTTAATTGAAACTGTCAAAGGAAGTATAAGATATTATATAACACTTCCCAACATTATAGACGCAGTCACAATTGAATTCAAATCGCCGAATTGTGTTAAGCATCATGCCATTGTCGAGTTAATAGAATCATCGAATGTAGGATCGACTCAATTGGAAATTTTCACGAATACGTAAGTGTATTTCATAATAAATCGAGCTTCGCATAAGCTCTTTTTACATATATTTAATTACAATGCAGAGATGATGGTCCGAAAACGATGAAAATGCAGACTCTCTATGGACGTTCCAATGATACAGCAAGTTTAAGAGTGACATTAGAACCAGAATGCATTTATATAATTAATATTCAACCTGGAGGAGTCGTCGATAAAATTTCATGTAGAGTACGGGATCGGTGGCCATTGCTTTACACGGCCATTATCAGTTTACTCCTTCTTATCGTTTCTTTAAGAGTACATTACAATTCAGATGTGCTACCGACAATAATCATTACCATAATATTATCCTTTATCTTCAACGTTACTTACGAAACTTGCATCGCTTTATGTATTATTAGTATATCTGCCGTCGGTGTATGTTTCTCTGTTATATTTCTTGGTTCTATTGCACATGGAATAGCTATCAGGTACAGTTCTTTTATTTATACTAAAATAAAAATATTCTTTAATTGCATATTGAAAAAAATGGTCAAATTGATGGATTAAAATATTTTTATAAGTCATATTCTTTGCAGGTTCTTAGCACGTGCAATAGCGTTCTCAATAACATGGTCAGACTGGTTATTGAGTGGTTTAAATCAGCTGCCATATATTACAACTTTTTTCGTACAATCTCTAATTCCAATAACATGTGCAGCTCTTAGTATGCTCATTTCGGTATTTCTTCACTTTTTGGAATTAACGAGGATGTACCAAGATTATTTAGAGGACATATTATTGGCCCCATTCCAACATTTCAATTTATTTAAACATTGGAACAATGCAGAAAATGAAGGAGAAAATGATCAATTAAATACTAGTCAGAAAAATATCGGTCAAGAGATACACAATCGTCTTCTCCTATTTTTGTTGTACAGTTTTGCTGCAATTCCAGCAATTCCATCTGTCCTAGTTTGGGCAAAAAATTTCAGGTATATGTTAAAATTCTGGATTTAAGACTTCCGTTTTCTCATTATAATAATATCACATTGTGATAGAAGCGAAAAGTATAATCAATTAATTATACTTTGTAATGTAACTATAATGATAAAACAGGACCCTTAAAATTAAAATTAAATTTCATAAAAATTAGTTAACGAAAATAGTCATATTTATTACAGCTACGATATGAGACTCTCCTCAGAAGATCCTGTCCATAAAATAAGTTGGATAATATTGGCTGCGTGCAGTACATTAGGTATCGTACAGATTTCTCCTAAGCACAAAGGATACCGCTCGCTTATATTAAGCAATATATTACGTTTCACGAGTTGGGTTATTCTTTCTATGACTGCAGCTCCGCGTCCATCCTTTTATCAGTGGTGTATGCCACCCATTATTGCCACAGTAGTAACACTCATGGCACTAAATTCTATGATTCCTTAAAAAAATTAAATTCAATTAAAATACTAATTGATAAAAATTATATTAATAGTTTACAATAATTGATAGAAATATGTTTACATACAGTTTTTCTTACTGTTTATCATTAATTTTGTAAATTTTCCTGGTTGTGGCAGTACTACTAAAATTTATGTCACATGTTTCTAATTATTACAAATTAAACGGTAACTACATGTTGGGACATATAAGTCATTATCAGGAGATACGGTAGTGTCCCGGCGCTAAGACAAGCGCAGCGATTTTACTACCGCGTACTTTACGCGAGACCGCGAGTTGTGGGAATTTTATATAACAGTAATCAAAAAAGTATAATATAAATATAATCATATAAGTGTAATCTTATAAAGTAAATAAGATGGAACTTACTTTAAGGCAGATTGTTTAGCATAGTACATTAATAATAATTGTGAGATAGTTAAAAATATTTATAACTGTAATGCACACAAAAACTTAGATCTTACTTATTGTGATATATGTGATATAATATAAAATAAGTCTTTTTAAGATTATAATTTATTAAACAAAAATTTTTCTTTTGTTTACAATATTTAATATATAATATTATTTAATTATATTAGTTATATTATCTCTATTGTTATCTTATTTATATATATTTATTTCTATAACAACAAAATAATTTTATATATATGCATATTTTTTTTTACATAAATACTTAGAATTTCTAATATTTCATTTTATTTATATATGTATATATATATATTGTTTCTAAAGATGAAGTTTATTCTGGAAATTTATTTTTAATGTCTGTATTCTGCACACTATACACACATATCTGCTTTTTAGTAATGGGATGTATTCCATAGTTTGCAACTATGCCCATTTGATGTTCAAGAAAATCTATTGTTTTTGCTGCTAAAGTTTTGTTATTTGCATGTACTTCTGGATGTTGCATGAAATCACTTAGCTGGAAAAATAATAGAAGTTTATAAATTGAAATATGCAACATTTAGGGATATAGATGCTGCACATTAGTATCGTAATACAGTTCAATTTTATATCAAATATATATACTTGCAAATTTTGTTAAGACCATGTATGAATTTAAAACAAATATAATTAATGATTTTTGGCAATGTAAGAAAAAAATTTTGTAGTATAACATTTACCTTCATCCATTTGCATTCTGAAATCTCCCGTTTACATCTATCAATTTCAAAATTTTGAGGTATTAAGTACGCGATCATATATATATCCGAGCATCCAAAATAATAATCATGCCCGTGTCTGAAAGATACTAAACATTTGAAATTTGCCTGAATTCCCGTTTCTTCTAAAACTTCCCTTTTGGCTGCTGTTTCAATATCTTCTCCTGACAATATAAATATATATGTTGTCTATATATATATATATATATAAAAACCAGTGAACTAATATATGCACAATGTCTATTAAGCTACCTGGCTCTACATAGCCTCCTGGAAGTTTCCAACTTGCTTTAGTAGGAGCATATTTTTCTTTAATAACAAGAATTTCACTAGTATTCTTATTGAACACAAACGCACCAACACCTAAGTATGTATGTGCATATTTTGGGACATTACATGCCTCGTTAGTAGGCAACCAACGATATAACATGACATATTCTTCTTTGGAATGATGGAAAATGAATCCATGCCTTGTTAATATCGGAACCCATTCGGTATGCGGTATGTGCACACGAAACCATATAGTGCGTCTTTTATCCATTATCCATTGCTCTAAAGAATCTATAAAGATATTTATAAATTATATGTGTGTTTATTTCTAAAATATATTCTGCTATAATATATCAAATTTATTTCTTTAATATCCTTTTAACGAGATAACACACACAAACATGGAATATGAAAACTCAATAGAGAAATAATTTTAACTTATTATTATAAATGTATGCTTTACAAGTAAAGTTTAACAAATTTGAAGAGAAAATGATTGTCCAATTTTCTTTATGATGCAGTCTCATATATTTTATATATATATATATATATATATATATATATATCACAATATATAATATTATATGCATATAATTAATAATGTCTTAAATAGAAAAAGATACGAGATGAGGCAAAATGCGTCTCTACCTTTGAGACGCTGTACAAATATTTTATTATCGCAGGCCTCCTCAACAGAATCGATTGTAATTCCATTATAGTGATCTTGATGACCTTTGAAGATTTGTTGTGCCATTACCGCGTCTAACGTGCTTAATTGTCCGATACGTGTACTGTGCGAAAGAAGAACGATTGAGTTTCGCGTCGTCAATATTCTTGAAACGTGTAGCAGTATCGTATTCTGCATCAGGTACTTAATGATGAGGATTGAATGATCTCAGCGCGAAAATTATCATGAAGTCAAGCGGCCATCGCACGATTTTACTCATGAATTGATAACGGGAGTAAAGATTATCAGTATACATACGTCGTGATCATACGTAAGCATTGGCAATTTTTTCTCATTTCTTTGCGTATCTGTTTATATTGTCATATTCAGTAGCAACATAACCTCAACTAAGATTGTAAAATCGGGTCCACTTCTCTCTGAAAATATTGTCGAGATAAGTTCTATATAAAAAATTGATAATTTAATGTGAACGCCATATAATAAACATTATTTCTGCGTATAAAATATTAATGACATCATAAATCAAATGATGTCATGTAACGACGAATGTAAATTTACATAATACAGAATTTCTATGTAAAATAAATATATGCTTTTACCTACAATAATTTTGTAAATTTATGTGTTTTTATACATAGAATATATTCCGAGAAGGAAAATTGTCGCTCAAATCCTATTTTATTTTTCTTACAATTTCAAAGCTTTTTGATGTCGGTAAGTTAGAAAATAATAATTTAATGATAATTTGCTTATTCTCTGCTTTAATTAATTAAAGATAAAAATAAAAATAATTTTTTTATATGATATAAATTATAGTTTTATAATCAAAATTTATATCTCTTTTATTCTTTTTATTTGAATCTTAAAAAGCTTTGAAATAGGAAAGGTCATGGGATGTGAATGGCAATTTTTCTTCTCAGAATATATTCTACATACAAATAAATATAAATTTAAACTATTATAAATTAAACTAATAATTTAAACTATATAAATTTACATATATAAAATTACAGGAAAATCAATAAGACATTATACTATATCTATTTAATTATACATGTAAAAAAAATACAAAGAAAAATATAATAATATCTAGTCAGAAATTTTTCATGTGAATATATATAAATATGTATAAACATACATAAACATATATAAATATTTATAAAGACATATAATTATGTATGAGATATGTCCATAGATGTTCATACATCCTTCTTCCATTTGTAAAATTACTTTTTAGTATACTAAAAATAATAATAATAATGAGAAAATATCAACAATAATTAATTTTTGCATAGTTTGTTTTAGAAAAAATCAAATTTGGAGAAATGTAAAAAACTGCTTATATATAATTGCATGTAAAATTATACATAGTTATGTATAAGCAAATTTTATTGCATTTTTCCCAAACTTGATTTTTTCTAAAACAAATAATACGAAAATTGTCTCATTAACTATTGATGTTATCTCAAAAAACAATTATTTCCAGTACATTAAAAAGTATTACAAAAGAAAAAAATTTATATGGACATTTTTCATGTTTAATTATAGATGATTATAAATATTTAGATATATGTTTATACATATTTATACATATTGATGTATAAAAAATTTTTTATCGGGTAGTTTTGGAGGAATTTATATATGATATTAATTGTTGCGTTGTAAATATGCATTTTTATTTATAAAGTATATAATAAATATAATAATAAATTATTAATTTTTAATACTACGTTAAGAACTAATTATACAGATATTTACGTCAATGATTTAAGGATGTATTAGACGTACAATCCCTGCAAAGAAAATGAACTTTGGAAGTATGTTTAATATTTACAAAAAAACTTCAAATAACTATCATATATACATATGAAAATTGTATGAATAAGATTTTATTTTTATTTAATAACACATTTTTGTAATTTTGTATTTATTTTATTTGTTATTATTTTTTGTTAAAAATTAAAATTTTAAAAAGATTAAAAAATTTACATTTTTCTTTTATAAATACAATATATTAAATATTCAAAATAATTTATGCAAAGTTTTATTGCGATTTACTGATTAGTTACAAAGATATAGAACAAATACATATTTTGTTTATTTACTGGACAACTATAGTTCATGCATCACAATGTAACTCTACGTAAATAATCTTGAATATAACATAATGTATAACTTATATTAAAAAATTGAGATTTTTGTTATTTACTTTATAATACATTTTCATATATTTTTATTAGAGCAGATAAAAAAGGTACTACTATTTATTAAAATAACTTATTGATCCAGATAGTAAACTATCATCAAATTTGTCATATTATTTTTAAACATGATTTTAGAATAATCTATACAGGATATCCCAGAATGACCGCCAAATATTTCGTGTGCTGATAAAATTGCCGACTAAACTAAGTCGAAAAATCCTCTACCCTTTTGCGATTTTCGCAATTGTTAACGAGATATTAATTATTAAAAATCGTTGAATTGGTTTTCAATAATTTTTGACTCGAGTACTATAAACTTTACAGAAAAACAATAAGAGAAAAAAGTTGTTTATTTTCTTCTCATAGAACTTTTTCATAATTTTTTATCAATTTTTTTATTATTGCATTTTCTTACATTGGCAACTATTTTTACCAACATAAGAAAATGCAGTATTAACAAATTTTGAAAAAATTCTCAGAACTATGAAAAAACAAATAATTTTTGTCACTTGCTGTTTTTCCATTAAAGATTGATACTTGAGTAAAAAATTGTTGAAAATCAACATTCAGCGATTTTTAGTAATTAATATTTTACTAACTATTGCGGAAATTGCAAATTGGTAAAGGATTTTTCGACTCAGTTTATTCTGTTGTACGAGCACACAAAATATTTGGCAGTCATTTTAGGACACTCTGTGTATATATTTTCATTTTTTACTTCTAAAAATGGAAAATATTTATACATAAATGCTACGATGTAAAAACAAGTTAATATAAATGAGTTAATATAAATGAAAGGCTGGAATAACATTATTAAATATAGAATAGTAAGCTTTTTCTTATATTCTTATTTAATATAAACCACATCATAAATAATAATTTATTATAAACTTTACTCAGATATATTTACGTATCGATTTGCAATACGTGCTATGTATAAACTAATATAGTACTGAAGTCATAAGTTCAAAAAATTTTTTCCAACAAATTCGTATATCTTCGGACAATTTTGTTCAGCCGCCATTTTGAAAGCCATTACATTATTTGCTTCTGTGCTTCGATTGTAATTGTTCAACAAATGAATCATCATAGCGTTTTTCTCTATTTTCAGCATTTCTTTCGCTCTTGTTTTGTTTGTGTGAACTTCCCGCGAATCAGAAAATGAGGGATAAAATTTTTCCGGTGAGTAGATCGTAAACTGCCGACATTCCTTGTCCTGCAAACCATATAATGGAAAGATTTGTCTAATAAGGTAATATGCATTTAACGTAAAATAACGTAAAATGATTTCTGTTACGATTCTTTTCGCACATATATCAATCTATTGTAATCTAAAGTTGGCGAAAAGTTTTCTTAGAATCCTTTATATAATTTTTTAGAATTTTTTTAGAATTCTATATAATTATATAATTTTTTAAAAAAATTTCTGAGATATTTTTATACAAAATTACAACATTTTTCTAGAATTCTTTATATATGAATTTTGAAATATTTTAAAATCTTTCAATCTATCATAAAAAAATTTATAAAATTTGAAATACGTTTGATTTTTTATAAATTTTCATAAATTTAAAATATAAATATTCTGAACAATATGAAAATATAAAAATTTTTCAGAGGTTTCATTATTTACGCATCATATATCACTTATATGATGTGTCCTAACGTGACGAGATTCATTAATCCAATGACCATGCAATGATAACAAATGGCTGCGTTCAGTAGAAAAGGCAGCCTTGCAACTGTTGTAAAGTAGCTTTTCTCCTGTACGCAGCTAATATATACAATAAAAAAGTTTTATAGTTTAAATTATCGAATTCAGGTTTGTTTTATATAACATTTTTAAATTTAAATTGTAGAGACAAAGAGAAAGAGAAGTGTGAAACTGAGGATGAGAGTGAGAAACCATGGAAGAAAGAGACAGAAATATTATACGTCATGAAGCGATGAAGTACACTGACGAAAGTGACTTATTTGCTAACAATAAATGAATCAAATTCGTTATCATACTCACGTTTCGCTGATAACAGAGTTTCCATATAGCTTCGGTTATAACTCTTGTGATATTGTATCGTAAATAGCTGTTTGCATTTGTACTTTTAATAATTTCCATACAAGCGTCGATAAAGTTTCTTCCAAAATCTGTACTCGTGTCGACGCCAAATACACCGACATCCACGTCTCGATTGTCTTGCACGCCCGCAAAAGTAGTTAGCTTGTCCAGTGATCTAAATATAAATTTTAATTTATTTACGTAAACCTGATTATTTACCTAAAATGTATTTATATTATTTAATTGTTGCAGCGAATAGGTAGACGCTGATACTGACACTTATCTATTCGTACACACAAAATATTGGAATTATTTGACATCTTGAATCTCACAGAGTTTAAAACTCATATTCATAGTTGATTTCTATATATAAGACCGTTAAGTACAAATTTAAGATGTTACAAGAGTCGTATCTTAGACATTATAATAGATAATCGGTTTTGAAGTAAGAACTGACTATAAATGTTGATTCAAGATATCGTTAGTTATCAACGAAAAATTTATTAGAAAATTATCAATCAATTTCGTCTGCCGTTGCTGAATTTACTTTGAAGCCTTGAAGATAAGGGATAATCGTCCAACTCACGTCAGCACCACGCTGTTCAAATTCAACGACACACCGCCAAACTTCCACAGCGTCAACATCCGGACATAATCATGAAAGATTTTATGTAGCCAATCGTGGTTCTCCCATAATTTACGGATATTTGCCCAGAACCAGTCTTCTATTGGCGTATCGATAATGTATGTAGACAAACGTATTCTCCTTATGTATACGTTATCATAGGTTTCTAAAATTTTGACGTATCTCTTAGACTTCTCAGAAAACTGTTTCGTCGCGAAGAAAAGCAAGAAGACGTTCAAATTGCGATTGTTTCTAGCCGACGATTCTACAGCGCACGCTTGTTGAGGCGTAAGATTCGGCGGTGAACACATGGTCTCATGGAAGAATATGCATCTACTTGGTATCAACATTTGTTCGTCTAAAAATTAAGAAAAAAAGATATAATGAAAAAGAAATTTAAATAATTTAGCCCTTAAAGTATTTAAACAGAAAGTAATTAAAAACATGTGATTCTCGGGAATTCTTTATACATTATTATTATTTTTTAAAGTAATGATAAAATAAATTTTATTAATTTATAATTTATAAAATAAATATACATATATCTATTACACAATTGAAATATTTAAATAATAATTAAATATATCTAAAAATTGAGAAATTAATAATAAAAATTTGAAAATAAAAGATATAATAAAATAAAATCTTGATATTATCGCAAAATGAATTCATTCTATAAAATTTTACACGCTATATTATTATTATATAAAAGAATAAATTACACTATTACACAAATATGATTAAGTGCACAGAATGATTAATAATTGCATATTTTTATTCTCATGAATATTCTGTAATTAACGTAAATGATTGCATATTAAAATTGATGATATTTATAGATCAAGAACACCGAGTCGTCTATAGTTTATAATTGTACAGAATATATCGTAACAGACTATGTGTATCATGATACTTTTAAAATTCTACTTTAACTGTACCTAAAGATTGTCGACAATAACTCGTTATAATACTTATAGCAGCTGCAGCGATGTACATATACAGGGTGAATCAGAGTTATTGAACCAGTTGTTTATCCTATGAGAAAATTATCGACGATTCTGATTCACCCTGTACATATATATACTTTTTCAAATATGTTTGATAAAAGACTAAAATGTTGACGTAAATTACTTAAAAATAATATATTTGAGAATATATGCAAATCGGTGCAACTGCTGTAAGTATTACAAGGAGACTGAAGTTATTGTCGATAATTTGTAGGTACTTCAGTTGAAATAGAATTTTATACATTTTAAAAGTATCACGATACATTTGCTATATGATAATTATATCTCACAATCAATTCGAATGACTTGCGTATAGATAACTGCAAAGTCTTTACGTGATATAATAATTTATTACTAGCGCAAGATATAAAATAAAGTTTGGAAAAATATATTATTTAATTTTAATTTGGAATTTTTCCATGTACTTAATTTTCTATTATTTAACTATAGATGGAAGAGAACATCGCTTTTTTCATACTGTTATCATTTTTTATTGCATTATCTAATATAAAGTAATATTAATCGAACAAAAATCGTTTGCGATAATTCCAACTTTTACATTCAATTTTTAAGGTAAATTCTTTAAATGCTAAACAAATATTGATAAGATTCTTTATAAAACAAAAATAACAATTGAGTTTTAATTTAAAATTGCACACTGTTAACTTCTAACAACTCCATTATAATTATTATTTATTTTTGTTAACTTAATTTTTCTAAATATTTAGTCTACATATATATTTTTTAAAAGCATGTAATTTTTGAAAAATATATTCTTTATGAAGATTTCTATTTCATATATATATATATTCTCCTCTCTCTCTCCCCTCCCCTTCTCTCTTACATTTATAATTTAAAGTTTTTAAAAAATATTTTTAATATTTTAATATTTAAACTTTAGAGAGAGAGAGAGAGAGAGAGAGAGAGAGAGAGAGAGAGAGTTTCTATATTTTATTTTAATAAAATTAAATTTCCATTCTATACATACTTGAAATACAAGAAGTAAAATCTATAATAGCTTAACTAACCCCATTCTCCTTCTCCAAGTTCCATGATATCACTGGATTTGCACCAATAGCAGGAAACATGATCGGCTGAGATGATGGTGATCCACCGATATACCACCGATAAGTCCTCCCAAAAAATGCAGACAATAATCGTTAATCCAAGTAAACAGCACAATACAAAAAACGCGTGTTGTTTTTTCATAACTGCAGATGACCTTGTCCAGGGTTCATTTGCAATCAATCTGTGAAAGTTTATACAATTCTATTTGAAATTTCTATTTTGTTCACGTTGGAAATCGATTTCTTATTGAAGAAGATATTTTTATCGAAACATATGAAATATAGAAGCAATTGTAGTAACTGTACTATGATACGATTATTACATAATCTACGAGTATGCGACAAATAGCTCTCAACTGCTTGATTATTACTGATGTCTTCATAATATCCAGCAGATACGTCTATCGCTCTCCAACGATGTGGAAATGGACTACGAACAGGTACGATTCATTTCAAGAACTTTTACGTTTTATTTGAATAAGGAACATCTCGATGAATTTTGTTTGCAAACTTTTAGCATAAACTTTTTTAAATTAATATTACTTAATATTAATTAAATTTAAAAGTTATTTTCTCTAATATCATTGGAAATAGATTAGACATTTATGATGAATCATTACTCACGCATAAAACTAGAATGTTCGAAAAGGAGTTGCAAAATTGTTCAATTCTATTTCTGTAATGAAGAATAATTATCCAATATATCACGATGAATCACGTCAAATAATTAATCTTTCAAGAAACTACGCATTAATATGTACACCAATTTCAATAAAAATCAATCAATATGATTATCTCTATAATTGAGGAAATACTAAATTATGTAAATACAGAAAAAGTATTTTCGTGAGGATTTAACAAGAAATATAACTATAAAATCTTACATTTGAAAGCTTCACAGAGGAAAATAAACCTTTTGCACAAACTTTGCTTTCGTTCGCGTAACCAAACATTGGCCTTCACAACTACTACACGCAGCCTTAACTATAGTTTATTATGCGACATATATAGAGTTGCAGCATTGGTATTAATAATCTTCGCATAAAGTGAATCATTATTCAAAGATCAAGTGAACGAGATTTGCGCACGTCAATTGGCGAATTGCCTGGACACGAATAAGATATTTTTAAAATACATTTTTTAAATATTTTAAATATTCATCTATTTACTAAAAAGTGATGAACGTGACTTCCTGTGTATTAGTTACTTTAAAATTTAATACATTTACTATGCAAAAAAAAAAACAAAATACGTTCAAAATTTGCAAAGAATTAAAAAAAATGATAGAAAATGTTATCATGATATGAAATACAAAGAGCAAAATTTCTATGTGTATTTTATTAATAATTGTACGATATATTTTATTTGTACTATATTTTCGTCTATCTTGACAAATATACAGTTCTTGATCGCATCGAACATTTTTGAAAGAATACAATAAATTAATCTAATCTTAAATAAAAAAATGAATAACGACTTTTTTGTAAACATCTTTCACTTATATATTCATTCATAAAATACATTTTTTACTTTTTCCAAGGATATATATACAGATTTTTTTATATGTAAGAATAGAGTTAAGTATCTCATTTAAGATATTATAAATCGTTTTGTTGTATATTGGAAATACAAAATTTATAAAATTTTGTTCAACTTAAAATCCTTGCACTCAGAAGCACTTTTATATAGTTTATAGAATTCCTTAAAAATATACGCGCACGCGCAAATGTTTTGAAATAGAACGTATTTTTTTAAATAAGGCATGTTGATAGAAATATCAATACATTTATCATTCGTTATCAACATTTGTTAATTTATTATTTTACATTATTGTTCGTGATTTTATAGCCTTTACAATGTATGTAAAATAGTACAAAGGATTAAATTACATTTTCCAATTTTAAGTTTCTCTCGATTTCCAAGTATACTTGAACTTGCTTGACATATTATATATGCATAATCTATAGGTATAATCGGTAGACATGTAACAAATTTATTAACGAGTTCATACACTAATATTTTAACATTATAACACACTATTTTAACATTTTCTTCAAAAATATTATTATTGAATTGAAATTTATTGCTTTATTCATTGCGAATTTATTGCTTTATTTATTGCGAAAATATAATATAAATAAAAATTATTAAAGGAAAAAAATAAGTATATATCATTGTTACCAAAATCCAATTACGCATGATAGATAAACAAAAAAAACTAAAGAAAGGCGAATATGTGTATGTATATATTTATAATATTACAGATTTATGTCCTTATTTGGATAAAAATACCTATAGATTATTTGATAAATGCGTATAAATCGTGTCATTACTTTTGGCCATAAACTAAAAGTTGCACAGCCATGATATTAACTATCGTAACATTTATAATAATATTGAAATTTTATAATGAGCTAAAACGAGATATATCTTAAAATACATCATCGTTTGCAAATTTGCAAGAAGATAAATTTCGGTAAAGTTACGATAGCTTGATATTTAAACTGTCTGTTTATATATAATAATTATAGTTGTTAATAATAATAACATTAATATATTTATAATATCTACAATACAACACGATCAAAAGATTCAGTTCAATGGTGACATATCCTTTTTTAAGAACTTGGAGAAATTAACCTTATATAGATTCATAAAATATAATTTTAATTAAGATCCTCAAATTCTTAAAAAATTAAGTTTATTATGGCTATGTACTGAATTTTTTGATTGTCACAATATTAGCAATAATTGATTATCTTAATAGTTTGTACTGATAGATCCGTTTATGTATATAACTATCATTTCGATATGCATCCAAAATTTTTCTTATATGACAATAGACTCTTGGCAAAAATTTTTCTTATAATTTTTCATAATTCATAAATATGTATGTATATATACATACATAAAATGTTACGCATTCTTAAACTCTTTATGCTCTCTCGAGAAAAATGTTATATATATGGATATGTTTTATATATTGTATAATTATATATGAAACATTTTTTCCCGAACTGATATTAGCGGATTTTATTTTAAAAATTGTTACACTGAATATACTAGACTAGAACAATCTGTAATATAATATAAATTTCAATTTATATGTGAAACTGAGTTATCTAAATATATACGTGAATATATACGTAAATAAATATATTCATTACAAACATGTACGTAACATTATTCATTCGGAAAATTCATTCGGAAATAAACTATCTTAATGATCAAAATTTATATATTGAGTATAATTTTATGTTATACATTTTATTTTAAAAAATATTATATGACGGAAATAAGCAAAATTGTTTTATTTTTATTCGAACGGGAAAAGTATGATCGATGAGCCTCTTTAAGTATAAAAATAGATTTTTCTATCTTCATAACAAGAGAATGGGTTAATCTATTATTTTATACAAGCGATCAATATGAGCATCAACATCTGACTTGTATGTACATTGAAATTTCATCTTCAATGTAAACATACGAGATTATAAGTTACAACTGCAGCATGCAGCGATTTATTATTATTATTACTTAATAACACGATAATTCATAGTATATTTAAAATGGCATTGGTCTTTAACAGACGTTATTAAATATATTTACAGAAATTTATTGCTCACAGAAAAAGTAGAGTGAATAGAATACTTTTTTAAATCAGCCTTTGTCTCGTTAAATGCATTTTATATGACAATTATTATTGCTTTTTCGATTGCATTTAGACAATCTCGTTCTATGCGGCATGTTTTCGCATGTGGAATGTTTTCAATATTGTGAGATGAAATAAGTATTCCACTTTTTATCCTACCTATGCTTAAGTTCAAAATATTTTGCCGCAGTTATTGAAAACATGAGGACAATAGTTCCGTGCGATAACAGCATATGGTACATTGCTATTCACTCGCACCTTTTCGGCCTTGCTTAAATTATTCCATACATGAATCGCTTTTGCCTTGTTCAATGCCTTCAAAGTCACGTTGCTGTCTTTTATCTCAAAATATTTCTTCCATTTTTTATAATGAATCGGATAGAAAATCGAAGGCGGATATACTGTGAAGCCGTGGCAACGGTTGGTTGTCATATCGCGTGCCTAAAAAATAAATTATAAAACAGAAAAATATTTTTTAGCTTATTGAAGTATTCTTAGTTTTTTTATTTTATTTATATGAAGTGATATGTAATTATAAGTAAAAGTGTTATATTCTTTAAAAGAAGACTAATATTAATTTTACTAAAAGAAACTCGAGTAATTATGAAATAAAAAATATATAACTAATGAACGTATAATAAAGAGATAAGGAGAGAAAAAAGAAAAAAATAACAATATTTACAATTGTAACAATTAATAATTATTATTAATGTATAAAACAGCACACATACAACTAGATTAAATCACACAAATAAAAAATTGCGCACTTTAAGTAAAGAATAAATTATTATTTATAGCACTGCTATAAATTATTATTTATAACACTACTATCCGTTATCTGTTAAACGTCTGTGTTTGTGATTTGCTATTTGCGTTAGATATAATATCGCAAGTTCCGAGATTCTGATATCTAGAATGCATTTTATGCGTATAAAAAGTTGCAGGAAAAATTCAATCATGTTATTCATTTATAACAATTTTAATAATAAAGCATATTCTCTGTGCATTAATTTCTCGCAAATTGGCGAGAATTATTTGAACAAACAAGAACAAATTTTTGTAATACTTGATCTCCTGTAGATTCAATATACGTCTTTGATTCTATGTTAAGAGAGTAATGGAATCATATTCGCTGGAGATAAATTCAACAAATTCAATTAAATTGAAGCGAGTCTCTTACTTGCAACTAATAGACTTTGTTATTTATTTTGTACACGTTAATATATCTCTCTTGTTTAATCGAGAGAGAGAGAGAGAGAGAGAGAGAGAGAGAGAGAGAGAGAGAGAGAGAGAGAGAGAGTTAAGTACACCTATAATTCTTAATGCCGTGAAATGTGACGTATTCAAATTTATTCTATCTACTCTTATCATCGCTATCATATCACATTTGCTCAACAAATGATCAAATTCAGTTTCCTCATTCTCAAATAATTTGTCTATTTATTTGATAAATAATATTTAAAATCATCTATGTTGTAGCTATTCAATCTTTTTAATAAAAGCAAACGTCTAATTTATTAATATATTTATCAAAATATTTTCAGTCTTTTTTTCTAAAAATTAAAAAAAAATAAAATTTTAATTCTTAATTTTAATTCTTTCAAGATAATTTGGAAAGTTTGACTGTTCGACTTCGTAAAATTACTTTTGTAAAATTAAAAATGTTTATAAAGTTTTGTAAAATGTTATCTATAATGTAGGAAAAAACGGAGTCACGGCATTCAACAGTAATCACCTTAATTACGACATGTTGTATACATGAATAACTACTGAAAAGATAAATTGAAAATTTTCAGTGACAGTTCATATATATAACATATTATATAACAAATAATGACATTATAATAAAGTTTTTGGTATACTTAAATACATGCATACTATACTTTACAGTTACTAATGTAATTTGGTTTTTCAAGGAGATATTCTACTATAACGGGTGAAAAAATCAAATTTTTTTTGCATTTTTTGCAAGTATATGTTATGGAAAATATGTATAACGCAAAAGGATTTATTCCAATTCGCAAAACTTACAAAATTACAATGGCTAGAAGGGATAAATTTACGATATGCTCGCCGACCGAGAAAGATGTTACGTACAATAGTATAGTCGCTGCAGGTAAAGTTTCGTGTGACCGTTATTATTTGAAGAGTAGGGTCTTTCAAAAGATGGACACGTTCGAGCAAGATGAGGGTTCTCTTTATTACGGGGTCTGGATTACCTGATAGAAATTTTTTCTATGTAAACTGCATGCAAGACACGTTTTTCTCGAAATTATATTTTTCAAACTGATTCCCATGATATCTCAAGACTTGACCAAATAGCCCAACTTGCACAAATCAAAACTTAATTTTCTAAGTGACGTTATTTTTTTTAGTTTTCGATATTTTTCTTTCATTCTGGTACCTATTATAGCCAAAAGTATACTAATTAAGAATTATTTTCAATTTTTTGTTTCAATCTAGCAGAACCAGCCTCATGCGAAGCCATGTGCAAAGGTTTTTTTTCATCGATTACTTTAAAGCGGTCCACTGATAATAATTTTCATTTTTTTACATAAAAATTTTTACATATTGTTCAAATGTAATAAATGTACGCAAAAAAATCTGATACCAACAACTTACGGGTTCTTCATGAAAAATTCCGAAAAAAAACGTAAAAATAACAAAAATAACCTATAACAGTAGATTATAGAATACCCCCTTAAAGCTTTTATATAACAAAAAGTTAAATAATAGTTATTTATTTTCTTATTTTCTAAAACTTTTTCGAAACTGTCTGATCATCTTGATCCAACACAGGTAGGCTACGCCGATCAGAACTATTTTTTTACGTCGGTAATTAAAAATTTATTACATTTAATAATTGTTTTACTGATTTTTTTCAAAGCAATAATCCTATATATTTTACCCTACAATCACTACAATCAACCTACAATCAATTTAAGAAAAAAATCAATTTAAGATGAAAATATTAATAAATTTTCTTAGATGATCACTCTTTCCTATATATATGATTTTATATCTAAAGTTGTTATGTGTAAATAATGATATTAATTCACTTAACTGAAACGTCTTTCAGACGTGATCAAATAAATAATTCCTATTATTGTAATTCCTGATCTTTTTTCAATATCTACAATACTCACATACGTCGTCGCGCAGAGTTTCTGTAATGTCCTTGTGATAACTCCGGGTCCATTGTTACCCCAGACGTCGCCGCGAAAATTCTTTTTGAGATCGCGCACGCAAGCATCAGCCACGCGTCGACCCAGCTTCGACATGTCGAACCCCATGACGCCGGCAGCAACATCGTCCCAGTCCTCTGCACCAGCAAAATTTGTCAGATTCTCTAACGAACTGGTGACTACTACGTCCAAATCGAGGTAGATACCGCCATACTTCCACAAAGTCAGATAACGTAGTATATCTGACATGTGACTGACCGGCCAGTGGCTTTTCTTTAAGACGCCACTGGTATACCATGCATCCAAGGGCGTCTCCTTCACGTATTTCTGTGGATCGATATGACGGATCCTGACGTTGGAATAATTAAGAAGTTGCCTGACGATCTCGCGTGTACTGTTCGAGAACTCCGATTTGCTGATGAATAGCAAATACACGGTCATTGACGGATTCATCCGTGCTGCTGATTCTATGGCACAGGCTTGTCGGGCATTTAATGTCAGGCCCTCGTCGCCGAAACAAGAAGTCTCATGGAAGAAGATGTTCCTACCTGATGTTGGCTTGTCGGTATCTAAAGCATAAAAGATGTAAATAATTTTTATTACAAATGTATGTTGACATATATTTATTAAGTCGTATTAATTTATTGTGATTTTTAATCGCAGTATTTATTGTGATATTCACAATTTCGTTAAGAATGTAAATTAAACGTTAAATTAAATTATACCATATTAAAATTAATTATACAAATTTCTTAATGTTATATGCTTAATAAAAATAAAAGTTTCTTAAATTTTACGTATTTTGGAAAGGCATCTTAAAAAATTATTAAAATATGTCGAATCATACATGAGATTTCAAAAAGATTTTTAAGTAAATTAGATCCTAGCTTATTCAATTTTGTCATCTCTTGTGAAGAAATTAGTTAATAAAAATAATAAAATAATTTATTTGTTTCTACACTTTTTAATATAATATATATTAATATCTCGAACTTTTAAAACACCGGTTAGAGCATTATTAAATTGAATCGTTCGAATGGCAATATAAAAAACAATCTAAAGCATTGAAGTACAAAAAAAAACTGTACATAATAGAAATATAAAGGGGAAGTTTAATATTTAATATTATACTGTGTCAATTTGTGCAAAATCAAACAGATGTAATAAATTTCTGATCATGATTGCATGATAAAATGTATGAATTTGATATATTTGATTTGAAAATATACATTTCATTTTTTTAATATGATTTTTTTATAAAAGTTATTCTATAGAAGATTTATGCTATTTTTATCAAGAACTTACTTTCTCAAACTTTTTAATACATATAAAGATGGATAATAATTTTCGTACTTGTTTCCCAATCGAAATCAAGACTGCTTTTTGTAGTTGAAACTTTATCATAGCATTTGATACCGTTGACTGTCGTCACATCGAGAAACGGTATTCTTTGGATGATGTTGCTCTCAGTTGAAATCATAAGGATGAGAAGCACGACGGCGAAAGTGAAACCGCACCATAATAATCTCTTCTTCATTTTGAATTTTTTCATTGGACTACGCTGAACTGTTGTGAGATAAAATTGATTAGAATAGTTTGTCAGGACAGTGTTATGAATGTATGAAATATGTTTATTTCTGCACTAGACTGTATTACACTCTCGGATCTGATTTTTTATTTCCTGGTTAACTTGTGGTTATATTTAACTTGATGTTTTATCTAAGGGGCTTTATTTGTGATGATGTCATGGATGAAGCCCCATTGGGTTAAATATCAGGTTAAACTTAAACACAACTTAATCAGATAATGGAAAAAAATCTGGTCTAGAACTTTCTTTTTCGCTTTCACTAAATAAAAATCAAATATATGTGTGTGTATGTGTATATATGTATATATATATATATAT